CTCCGCTCCCTGATACCTGAGCTTGCCAGAGTGTCCATCCCTGTACTGATTTTCAGGTCCAATCCAGCATCCTTGAACACAGCGAGTCTGTCTTTCCCACTGCCTGCTGTGCAACCAATGTCATGTTCCTCCAGCACATCCCAGACCTAGAAATCAAGAGGTGAATCTGGATTTGGGATCTTTCTGACCCCTCCAGATTAGGCATAAGGCTCAAGTGATAATTCTCACACTATCTCCTACTTATTGAGCTCTTCTAGTTGCTAGGCTGTGCACCTTCTTCAATACTCACAGCCATTGATGTTGCCCCTTGTTTAGCTGAAGAAGCTGAGGCTCAAGCTAGACTCTCCAGAAAACCTCTTGGCCCAAAGCTCTCATGATCTCACCTTCTTCTGTGTGAACTTGTGTTTGCTGTTTAAGACATAGACAGCTTTGTCCACAGCCACCAGTCCCACTGTGGCCTCTGATTGACCCACCACCTTCAGTTCCACTTGGTTGTTGGGCTCCAAAGAATGCAAGAATTCATCATTCGTTAAGCTGACCTTCAGCTGGGCCAAGAAAAAGAGAGGTGTTAGGAAGAGGATCATAAGCTACTCAACTCCTTTTTCTTTTTAAATTATTTTTTAAATTTAATTTTATTTATTTGTTATTTTTTAAAGTTTGACCAGAGAGGGACAGAGAAAGAGAAGGAAAGTGAGAGAGCAAGCTGTTAGGTCTAGGACTCAGACTGCAGTCAGTCATGTGGGAGTCCAACACTCTCAACCACCACAACACCTGCCAGGGGCCCCCTCAACTCCTTTTTCAAGTTTATGCTTCCTCCTGCTCTGGTGGAGCATCTGAACTGCCACCAGGCCAATCTCAGCCCAAGCATTTATTTAGTTGCATCTTATTCAACCCTCATGTTGAGCTCTTAAGGCCACATATTCACTTCATCCTCTCCCACCATCTGGAGACTGGATATCCCTGAATTTACGCAGAGTCTTTCTGGAACTCTTTGATGGTTATGTACAATGAGCAGGACTTTGACTCACCTTTTCCATGCATCTGTCTTTCACATCTACCCATATGGAATCAGCCACCAGTTCAGGGTCCTCGCTGTTTCCATTGGGCAGTAAATAAAAGGCCAGAATGCGAAAGGAGGGCAGCATCTCTGAAGTCACATCAATAGCGGCTGATGTGTAGACACTCCCCTGGCTTTTTAACTGTTGTTTGGCACTGACTATTCGGCCCTTACTCAAGACCTTGGAGGTAAAAGATGACAAAGATGAGAAAGGTTGAAAAAAAACCAGTCCACCATGGAGGGGTGGGACACAGTCCTTTCACTTCAGCCTTTTGATATGTACCCAGATTATTTCCATATTCACACCTTTGTTCACAGTTTCTCCCACCCAGCAAACCAAGGTTTTCCAGAGAGATAGTTCCTTGGCTCAGACCCTAGTCCTCGGTCCTCGCTTCTCACCAGGATGGTAAAGTGCGTAATCTTGTTCTTGACAGCAGGGTCTCGATGCCTTGTGTTGAGGCTTATTTGAATGCTGCTGCCAACCACCGTGCCGAATGCCTTCACGTCAATGTGCAAGAAGTTCCCTGACCCATCCTGAGTTGAGTAAGGCCAAGCAGTCATCTTGGCTACAGCCTGTTCCTCTGGGCGGAGAGATTCTTCCGTTGTTACCTAGGAAAGGATCAGCAGATGGTATAATGATTACTTCACTGGACTCCCACATAGACAACCACAGTTCAAGTCCTGGACCCAGTGGCTTGAAACTCACACTGGGTGTATGTGTGTGCATGTCCAAAACCCCAAGAAGTGTATGGAGGAGAAGGGATTGTGGCACGGTCATCTACCCTGGGGGGTGATTTCTCACTTTCTGTGCCTTTCTCTATGTGTCTGGTGAGTGCACGTGCATGATAGCAATCTCTTTCTTAAAAAATGCAGGGGGAGGAACCAGCAGTTAGTGTAATGGCTATGTTGCTGGACTCCCACGTAGTCAATCGTGGTTCGCGTCCTGGACCCGGTGGCTTAAAACTCACACTGGGCACGTGTGTGTGTGTGCCCAAGATCCCGAGAGGAGAATGGAGGAGAAGGGATTGCAGTGTGACCATCCCCCCTGGGGGGTGATTTCTCGCTTTCTGTCTCTGTCTCTCTCTGTCTGTCTGGCGAGCACACATGCCCTATAGTGAAAACCTCTCCCCCACCCCCCCAAAAAATGCAGGGGGAGGGCTGACAGGTGGTGTGGTGGTTAAGGGCACTGAACTCCCACATAGCTGACCATGGTTTGAGTCCCAGACCTTTAGGGTGCCAGCAAGTCATATGGCAGTTAAGGGTGCTGGACTCCCACATGGCCGACCATGGTTTGAGTTCCAGACCTGGCAGCTTGCTTTCTCACTTTCTCTCTCTCTCTCTTGCTCTTATTCGGTACTTCTCTGGTCAAATTAAAATATAAATAAATAAATGAAGGTAAATAAAATAAATCTCTAATAATAAAAAAGGTTTTTCCTTGTAGAGAGTAATGGACAAGCCAACTTCAAGTTGTCAGCTTCCCTAGCCCCAAAGCCACCCACCCCGTCAGGCGGGTACCTCGATGGGGAGCTTGTCCATGTCTGCATCCGTGTTGATGGTCAGAGTGGCCACCCCATCCTCTGTGTATACTTTGTTCTTCTGACTGCTCACGAGGACTCTGGAGGCTGGGGACCCATCAGGATTTGAGACGAAGACCTAGAGTGGAATGAGGTAAAATGGAGGCCAGCCTTGGGAGTGGCCCCGCAGGAAAGGTGGGGATTGGAAAGGCGACCTGGATAGGACTGCCTTGTACAGTTGTGTAAGGAGTGCCCTGGGCAACGGGGCCACCATTTACACTAGAGTCTGTGTAAATGGTGTCCCCATCGTTCTGCAGGGTGTAACCAGATGCTGGTGGCTGATGGCAAGTGGGAAGACAGGGAGTGGAGAGGGTAGGAGGAGGCATGGGGGGCTTGGGGAAACTTGGAGTTGAGCTGGCACCAAAGGATGGCTCTAACCTTCCTAGTGCCTATCAGGCTTCTATCTATTTATCTGTCAATCTATCTATCTATCTATCTATCTATCTATCTATCATCTATCTATCTATCATCTATCTATCTATTTATTTATTTTATTTGACCAGATAGAGACAGAGAGAGAGAGAGATTGAGAGAGAGAAACCAGGTCAACAGGTCCAAGACTCGAACCACAGTCGGCCATGTGGGAGCCCAGCGCCCTTAACTACCATGCCACCTGCTGGTCTCGCCTATCAGACATCTTAAAGCCACTCCAAATAAGCATATGTAAAAGTGGCTTTTCTGTATAGACGCTGCCTCAGGATAAACTCTCCAGCACCGTCTTCCAGCCTGATGGGGAGCCCCAATCCAGAGCCATTCTTGTGCTTTTAGGGGACCTGGGTTAAGACGTGAGGGGACCATGGTTTGAGTCTGAGGCCCCTAAAGGAGTTAGCTTTCAGTTGAGTTGGGCACGGTGAGTCCAGTGTAGGTTTTTGTCTCCTGGGAGATCCGTTTTGGGGAAGGAAAGTGGGGTCCCTGGGTAGATTCTGACCCTGAAGAGGAATGGCATGCCCGGCTTGAAATATTGGGGTGTCCTGATGAACTTGATGTCGTATGGGCTCTGGACAATCTTCACTCCCGAGGTCTCAGTCTGGACCATCTCACCCCCTGTGGAGACAGAGGAACAATGCAGTTTGTCTAAGAGATTCAGTTAGTTTTCTTTCTCTCTCTCTTTTTTTCGTTTGCTATAGAGCATGTGTACTCTCCAGAGAAAGAAAGAGAGAGAGAAAGTGAAAAACCACTTTTCCTAGAGGATGGTATACTGCAATCGCTTCTCCTCCACTCTCCTCTTGGAAATTTTTTTAAAGAATTATTTTATTTAACTTTTAGTTAATTAATTAATTAATTAATTATTTTCATTTGACCAGAGAGGGACAGAGTGAGAGAGGGAATGTGAGAAAGCAAGCTGCCAGGTCTGGGACTCGAACTATGGTGGGCCATGTGGGAGTCCAGTACCCTTAACCACCATGCCACCTGCTGGCCCCAGATTCTTTTTTTAAAGAGGGATTTTTGCTAGAGGGTGCATGCAGTCACCAGAGAGATATAGCCATTACACCAACTGCTGGTCCCTTTTAAGAATTCTTTATTGGGGGACCAGCAGTTAGCGTAATAGCTATGTCGCTTGTCTCCCACATAGTCGACCACAGTTCGAGTCCCAGATCCAGTAGGTTAAACTCAAGTAGCCAGGCACGTGTGCATGTGTGCTCAAGATCCCGAGAGGAGAATGGAGGAGAAGGGATAGCGGCATGGCTATCCCCCCTTGGGGGTGATTTTTTGCTTTCTGTCTCTCTGTCTCTCTCTGTCTGTCTGGCGAGTGCACGCACGCTATTGGAAAAACCTCTTAAAAAAATTAAGAATTCTTTATTAGGACCAGCAGATGGAATAATGGCCATGTCACTGGACTCCCACGGAGTCGACTGCAGTTCGAGTCCCAGACCCTGTGGCTTAAAAGTCACACCAGGCGCATGTGTGTGCATGCCCAAGATCCTGAGAGGAGAATGGAGGAGAAGGGATTGCGGTGTGACCGTTCCCCCTGGGGAGGGGGTGATTTCTTGCTTTCTGTCTCTCTGTCTCTCTCTTTCTGGAGAGTGCACACACCCTATGGCCAAAACTTCTCCAAAAGAAAAAAAAAAAAGAATTCTTAAAAGAAAAAAAAGAAAAGAGGAAGAACACTGTGTCCTGACCTAGACCAGGGGCCCGGATAAGGGTGATACCTGAGGAGAACACGGTGACATTAACAAAGATTGAGGCCCCAATGAAGTCCTCTTCATTGTTCTCCTGGAACGCAGTCATCAGTGTGTTCTTCTGGAGGGAGACGTGGCCCAGGCCTTTAGAGATCTGTTCTCAGGGCAAGAGAGAGGGAGAAGTGATGGTCTCTGGTGGAGTGATGATGGCTGGGGTGGGAGGGAGGCACTGAAGAGGGTGCGATTCGGTCACCTCCACCCTCTGCAGGGAGCTCTGGATGGGGATCCGACTGGAATCTTGCTTCAGCCCAAACATGGCCAGGGCGTGTCCATCCACCGGCTTGTTGAATATGTACCTGGAGGGGGGCGGGGAGAGTCCTTCTGCTGACTCTGAAGTGCCTACACAATTCACGACTTGGGGAGGGACAGAAGTGGCCCTTGGAAATTCAGGTGGCTTCTTTGTTAATCTACACAACCCTGGGTGGGTGGCAAACATGTCCCACCAAATTATTATTATTATTATTTTGCCATAGGATATGTGTGTTTGCCAGAGAGAGACAGACAGACAGAGAGAAAGTGAGAAGCCACCGCCCCCAGGGGGGATGGCCATGCCACAATTCCTTCTTTATTCTCCTCTCGGGATTTTGGGTACGCATGCACACACACCTGGTGTGAGTTTCAAGCCACCGGATCCAGGACTTGAATTGCAGTTGGCCATGTGTGAGTCCAATGCCTTATCCACCATGCCCCCTGGTGGTCCCTGTCCCACCAAGCTTTGATGTGGCCTGGGCAACCTCCCAAGGTGGTAGAGGTGGCCTGCACATCTTTACCAGGTGGATCAGAAAGCCGGTAGAGTGTACATAATGGGCATAGCCTCCATCTAATGTCTAGAAGTGGCAGACGTGACCCGCACCACCTCAGCTGGATGGCGTAGCCTATACAACCTCGTAGCACTGTGGAGATGGTCCGTCAACCCTTACAAGACCATGCACGAAGCAGCTGTCATCTTGGAGAGCAGTAGAAATAATCTGGGCAAAGTTACGATGGCAAAGGTGACCTGAACCACCTCCTGGACTTCCAAAGATGGTTCAAGCCATGAGGCGGAGGATGAGGTAGACCAGATGGCCCATGCACGCTCTGCCATGGAGAGAGGGGTTGTGTGGCCTTGCAGGGAGCAGATGTGGTCTGGACAACTTCACGAGACAGCGTAGGTGGTCTGGGATGTCCCATGGGTGGCAGAAGACTATCTCTGTTTCCCTAGTGCTGTCAAAGTGGCCCACTTTGGGACCAGCAGGTGGCATGGTGGTTAAAGCACTGGATTCCCACATGACCGATCACGGTTTGAGTCCCAGACCTGGTGGCTTGCTTTCTCACGCTCTCTCTCTTTCTGGTGAGTGCACATGCCCTATGGCAAATTTAAAAATCATAACAATAAGTAAAATTAAAGTAAATAATTCTTTTTTTTAAGAGAGATTTTTTGCTATAGGGTGCGTGTGCTCATCAGAGAGACAGAAAGCGAGAAATCATCCCCCAGGGGGGATGACCACGCCGCAATCCCTTCTCCATTCTCCTCTCGGGATCTTGGGCATGCACATGGGCATGGCATGATTTTCAAGCCACCAGGTCTGGGACTCGAACTGCGGTCAGCCACGTGAGATTCCAGTGATATAACTGCTACATCATCTGGCCCATAAATAAAGATTTTTTTCTAGAATTATTTTATTTAAGTTTATTACTACTATTATTATTTAATTTGACAAGAGGCAGAGAGAGAGAGAGAGAGAGAGAGAAAGTGAGAAAGCAAGCTGCCAGGTCCAGGACTTGAACTACAGTCAGCCATATGGGAATCCAATGCCTTTAAACACCGCACCACCATAAATAATTCTTTTTTGTTTTAGAGAATTATTTAATTTATTTATTATTATTATTTCACATGAGTTTTGCCAGAGAAAGACAGAAGGAGAGAGGGAAAGTGAGAAAGCAAGCTGCCAGGTCCAGGACTTGAACTACAGTCAGCCATATGGGAATCCAATGCCTTTAAACACCGCACCACCATAAATAATTCTTAAAAAAAAAAATAGTGGCCCACTTCTCTCTATCCATTCAGTCTCTTGGTGTCCCTGATCTTAGGTGACTCACCAGGCCCGGATGTCAATGCCCACAGCCTCGTCATGGAGATAGAAGAAGGTCTTGTTTGGGGTCAGCTGGACTTCGAAAGACGGGAGGACTGGGTGAAGCCAAGGAAGGAGGAATTTTCAGCATGGCACCTCGGCCTCTCGTCCCCTCTTCTTCAGTGACTCTGGCAATCTCCAAGGGCCAGAACCAGCACCCGGCTCAAGTCCTAGGTCCCCTGGGCACCCCTTTCCAAGCCCAGCCCCGATCCTTGGGGTTCCCTCAGGCTCACCGTACTCCTTCACCTCAAAGTTGGCCTTGAACTTCTGCTTGACCGTACTTTGGTAATTGGCCTCTATGGTCCAAGTCCCGAAACTGAGGCAGAGAGAGTGGGCAGAGAGGGAGACCGAGAACAACAGCCCGCCCTGCTACCCCGGGGGCTCCCGGCAGGGCACCTGACAAGCTCCGGGAGGCGGAAGGATTTGGCCAGAAAGCCATCGCTGGCTAGCAGATTGTGGCTGGTCACAGTGACTCCGTCTGGATTCTGTGGGGACAGGCAGTGGGGCTGGTGGCTGCCCTGGGGGGAGGACCCCTGTGGTCCACACCCCCAGGCCTTCAGCACACCACATAACCCCAGGGTCCAGGATCCACCCCCCCATCGAGAGAGGCCACCTTGATGTCCAGCGTGAACGTCCTGGCCACCGGGTCCATCTTGTGATTCACGGTGAACACTCGGTACTGCACTGCAGGAGGGGACGAGACGGAGCATTGGAGAGAGGAGGAAGAGACAGAGAATGTGTGGGGGGGTGGTCTTTAGGATCTTGGGGACCTTGGACAGTGGAGACTCTGGGAAGTGAACATGATTTTTATTTTTTTTAAGAGAGTTTTTTTTTTTTAACAAAATGATTTATTTAGTTAGTTCCATTTGTTATTATTAATTTTTTTCAATTTGATCAGAGACAGAAAG